CACTTCTGAATCTAGTTGGATTGGGGACCTTGCTTTCAATATGAGACTTCAGGTTTGAATTCCAGATCCAAACTGTCACCTGTAGGAACCCAAAGCCCGTTGGTTTTCCTACAGATTTTTTCCTTGTAGGTAAAACACTATTTGGGTTCCACCCTCACAGTTTAGATTTTTCAACTTACAGCTTCTGTAATTCAAATGGAAGTACAAGTGTAATATTTGTTTTCAACTAGATTAAATAAAGTAGGGTTTTTTTTTTTTTTTTTTTTTTGGTTCTTGTTACCTTTTGAATTTTCTTTTTCTTTTTTAAGGAACCTTCTTTTTTTTTAAATTTTTTTTTTTAAGGGGATTTTTTTTTTTTTTTTTGAAATTTTATAATTTAAAAATTTCTTTATGATCATTTTGCTTTTCAGAAGTTTATATGACTGCATTCAATCTTTTTAAATAAAATGTAAAATAATTTATTCAAATTTATTTTATGCTGTGGCATAGATTTTAGGTTTTTGTTATTCTTTTAGTTTTGTAATATAATGTGGGCCATTTCTTAACTTTAAAGATACATTTTATTTCTCTATCCAGCTATATAAGTGTGTGTGCATGTGTGTGTGTGTGTGTGTGTGTGTGTAAAATTTTTATTTAATACTTGATTTTATTTAATTTGCAATATTTATTAGAATATCATGGAATAACTCTAAAAGCAAAAATAAATAAATAAATGAGTGAAGACAGATTGCAGATTGTATTTACATCTCTCCTTTAAAGTGGAATATACAAAACATGAAGACTGAGAAGATTTTTAAGAAATGACAGAAGAAAGTTAAAAAGTTTTTAAAAAAGCTCATCATAAGACACAATCTACTAAGAGAAAATATGTATTATTGGACTATTATCTTTTACTTACATAATGTTATTAGAAAAAGCTTACCAGAAACATAGATATACTCTGAATGTCAACGTACCTTACTATATGGCAAAAATTGCACAGAGCAGAATTAGACATATTAAATAATCCTCTTTGAAAATTGTTATATCTTCAGTATCAAATGGCTAGAATGTATACCCAAAATCTTTGTGGATAAATAGTATTTCAATAGTAATATGTGTCATTAATAAAGAATCTTGCAAACAATAATTAGTACATCATTTCACATACATTCAGAGACTATCTCAAATAGAACTGATACCAATGAGAAAGTCAAATCATATATTCTGGTGAAAGTTATATATACCTATAATGCAATAGTAAAGATCACCTTCTGAAAACACAAACACACTTTTGGAAACTTAAAGTGTCATTTCTAAATTGTTCCATATTTAAAGAAAGATTCTGAGGATTATATGGGATGAAAGATTAATTTAAAAAATGATTTATTAAAACAAATGAGATATAGTTCTATTCCCAATTATAACAGAGTGACAAGGCCACTTTTCCACCATTGAAATGGACTAGAGGTGGGGAAAGTACAAGAAACAGGTGTTTTTAGATAGTGGAACAGTAAGCAAAAAGCAGAACAGCATTGTGATCTTCAAGAGAAGGGAAACATTTTCATTTCTCCAATTGCTCTGGCTTTCTTCCTGAAGGAAATTTCTGGACCAAAGTTCTCTTCCAAGAAGGTGAACAGATGATGATAGTGTTAGTGACTTCTGAAGATGTGGATGAGTTTCAGGGGTGAAGGCATATGGAATATTCTAGGCAAAGATAGGACTCCTGAACTTGTCATTATATCCTCTCTACAATCTTGAATTTCATGTTAATTTGTGTATAGTAAAATAAACTCTATATGGATACATAAATAGCAAATATGGTAAGCTAAAGATAAACAATTTCTTGACCTCATAGAGGTCTGAGAAATATCTAAGTTCAAAACAGTCAGACAGTAGAAATCTCATATAATATTCTGGGAAATGAGTAGAAACCAGGGAAAGATTTATGCTTTAGGAGTAAGACTAAATCACCATAGAATAAGAACGCCTTTAGTCTTGTCTGATACTTAAAACAGAGCCTTGTAATTTCATGACAGATCTTCTTTTAAAAATTCCCTATTTTGCTCTAGCTTTGGCATATGAGAGAAAACATTTGACCCTTTATTTTCAGAGTCTTGCTTATTTAACTGAGCATGATCATCTCAGGTCCATGCATTCACCAACAAATGACATAGTTGCATGGTTCTTTATGTCTGAGTAGATATCCTCCATTATGAAAAAAAGAAATAAAAATAGCAGAGTAGAGGAAGGGGACCAATGGGGAGATATGGGTAAAAGATGGGTAAATGAAGAATGAAATTGACCAAACTATGCTATGTTTAAATGTGTGTGTTTGTGTTATGATTTGTACTTTTGTATATTACCATAATTTACCAATTAGAAAAGCAATAAACAAATAGAAGAAAGACCTATAGAGAGATGGAAGAAAGGAAGGAAAGGAGAGATACTAGAGATTGAAATGGAGCAAATTATGTTTTATGCATTTATGAATATGTCAAAATGAACCCCACTATTATGCACACGTATAATGCACTCATAAACATTTCAAAAATAACAACCAAAACAAGATGTGAAAATGATCAAGGCTGCCAAATTGAAATTCAGTGCTCTGTAGAGGAAGACAACAAACTCACACTTTCAGACATGTGCTGTTTCCCACTTCAGAAATCCAATACAGAATTACCAGACCTGGCAAACAGTAAGTGTAACAGTAAAAATCAGTAGAAAAAAAATAGCCAACAGAAATGCACTGATAAATAATAAAGATGATGGATTGAGCAGAAAAGGCATTTAACCCATGTCAAGAAATCAAATAAGGTCTTAACTGAGAGACAGATAAATTTTGGAAGATTTATCAATAAAGACAAGAAAACCAAAATAGACTATATGAGGAAAGGAATATGCATGCAGAAGGGATTATTTTTAAATTCTAGGAACACTTTTATATCAATGAAATTATAAATGTAATTAAAATGGAAATTTTTCTAGACAAGCATTACTTCTGAAAATTAACACAGGAAGATACAGAAAGCCTAAAAATATAGCAAATAAAGAAATTAAAGAGTTAATCAACAATTCTTGACTACCTCCACCACCCCAATAGAAATAAAACCAACTACCAATGATTTCCTCACACAAATTTTGCAAAACTCAAAACAAACAGAAAACTTATTTTACTCAAATAATTTCAGTAGTGAAGAAAGTTCTTCAATGCACTATACGATGACAATGGGTAAAAGAAATAAATTATGGACCCATTTTACTTCTAATACTTTATCTCTGTTTTATTTCTGGTATTGCTTTTTTTTTTTTTTTTTTTTTTTTTTTTGGCTTTTGTTTTTTCAGTCCTGGGGATTGAACCCAGTACCTCGCTCATGCTTGCTAAGTGCTCTACCACTGAGCCAAACCCACTGCTCTTCATCTTTTATTAAACACTCTGTGGTCTTGGTTGAACAATTTACAGTAGTCTGTAAGAATCTGCTTGCACATCTGTAACAGTGATCATAAGGCCAACTGTAGATATGCAGATTCTTATCTAAAAGTCTATATGCTTCTTTGGTCAATAGAGACCAGTGAGTTTAGTGAAGGGACCTGCCCTTGGACTTCATACCCTCCATTTCTAAGGAGGCTACATTCTTGATTAAGGATCTTATTTCATTCTTTAAACTCACCTCAGACTTTTTTTACCTAAAACTCTAAAATTCAGGGCTAGAACCCCTTTGTACTGGGACCCTGGCTGCCACATGTGCAGCCTGGCTTTGCTAGGGTGTCCCCCTATAGTGTACTCAGAGCTCCATGCCATACTTGTTCTGCCACTTCACTATTATAAATTTATTTTTTTCTTTTTCAAGTAATATTAATTTTTATTTCTTTGTTTTTCAATAGAGGAACATGAGTATATTTCCTCTTATATACATATTATATGTGAACATATTAATTCCAATGCTTAATATGTTTATCATGAGTCATAAACAAGATATTAATTGAACTTATATATTTCATTAATTGAACTTCTTATTTAATTTCATTAGCAATTATTATTAATTATCTCTTACTCTGATCACTTATTCTATGTTTGCCACTCAAGAAAAAAACCTAACATTTTAAATTCTTTATTCACAAATAATTCTCCTTTGCCTTGTAGCTCCTTCTATTCACCTTTTTATTCCATTCACCCTCATGTGTTGTTAAAGTTATTCTAAATTTCAATAAAAACTACAAAGTCCTATGTGCTTTGTATGTCACTTAGAACAGAACAGAACTGAATACATAGGACTGAATATTGCCCAACTTCTGCAAGGAGAAATTTCCCTATGTTATGACTTTGTCCTTCACTGACAATGCGAGGCCTGAGATATATGTTTGCACTATGTTTCCTGTCTGCTTTGCACTGCCGTAATGAGTTGAGCTGTCAGTGATGAGTATGTACCAAAAGGACTATGAATATGTAGAATGCAGCCAGATAAGATGAGCCTGAGTATATAATGTTGACTCCAAGGACATTGTATTCCTGGGTTATACCATTTTACTGGTATTATTAAGAAACGTTCATTTTTCAAAAGTTTTTTCACTCATTTTCATGAAAGCTTCCCAGCACATGCATATATAAAGGATGTTGGTCTCGCTTGTTTCTGACTTCAATCAAAATCATAAACTAGGGTGGAGGGAAGAGACACTCACATAGCAGTGATCATTTACACTCCACGTCTTCTTCTTTTGTCCTTGCTTTCCTTTAGAGCTTTGTCCTCCACGTACTTCAAACTACAAGCTTCAGCTGGTGAACTTTCCAATTTTCCCTTCCACAGAAGTAGCTCATATTGAGGGAGGCAGTTGCTTTACTATGGTCACCGCATCAAAACATGTTTGTGCCTCATTCTGTCAGGAGATTAAAAGGTAAATAATTACTAAGGAAATCTTGTTATGCTTAAAAAGTGACAAAGAATTGTCACACATAGAATTTTAATTGATGCTACTGTGCAAACCTGATAAACTCACTGTATATAGTAAGGGCGATGATGACAATAATGGATTTATACTTTTAAATTGGGCTTTGGAAAAACAGAATGCCTAAATGTCGATAGGAACAATTGGTGAAAGGGACATGTGGGTGCTAGTGAAGTGCTATGGGTAAGGTTGCTTCCATCTGGTTTCTATATTGTCATGGAGACCTAAGGAAATGACAGGATTCGTCGTTAATCTGTGAAAGGAGCTAACCCTTTCTGAGAACTAGTACTTCATAGACCTGAAGAGTCATCTCTTTTATATTTTACAGGATTGATTACAATGTGATTGATGCGCTTTAGAAATACAAGAAGAATATAACATCTATATTGTTTTCACCAACTGCTTGGTTGTGTTTTGATAGTTTTGATTCTGTGACTACTAGTAGACATTCTGAGAATGTCTCAGAATAGAAATTGGAGAGATGTAACTGGTGTTTTACTTCAACTTTTCCATGTCAAGTATCTCTGGCTCATCTGTAAAATCAATGTACCTGACAGTATTACTTACTGCCCAATTAATCATTTCTCTTGGTTTATGGTTCTGAGGAAGATTAGCCCTTGTCATTTTCTCAGTCTAAGGTAAATTACTTATGTTTATGTCTGCAAGTCTAAAACTTCTGAGGGAGTTATTAAACATTCTTTTAGTTTGTTTGCTTTTTGGTTTTTATTTGATACCAGGGATTGAACTCAGGGGCATTCAACCACTTAGCCACATCACCAGCCCTATTTTTGTATTTTATTTATTTATTTATTTATTTATTTATTTATTTATTTATTTTAGAGACAGGGTCTTACCTAGTTGCAAAGTGCCTTGCCCTTACTGAGGCTGGCTTTGAACTTGAAATCCTCCTGCCTCAGTCCCCGGAGTCCCTGGGATTATTAAACATTCTTTCCCTATCATTACTCTTCCCAGCCTCTACTAGCCTTTGTTACCAATTTCCAACTGATTCTATATCAAATCATAATTTTACTCTGCCTCTGAAAGGCTAATAATGCAAGTATAAGATCTGGAGAAAAATTAAAAATAAAAATAAAAAGGATCATTTCCTTAATCTAGTTCAAAGAGGCCATCCCATAGTGAATCTAAGATTACAAACTCATTCCTTGCTCACCATTCAGGTTCATTTACAGCAAGCCACACAATTTACATGCTTCAGTAACAACAGGGTTATCGGTGACATGGGACCAAGCAGGCAGCAGGAACAGGCGTTTTCCCAGTGCGTAGCTAGTTGTCCATCTCAGTGTTGCTAGGCTATGCAGACAAACACATATTCATGATGATACTAGAGAACTTGTCCCCACCCTGAGGATCTTAAGATTCCAGGTAGTGTTTCTCAGACTCCTAGAACAGCAATAGAAATCTATTAAAGGGACAGATATGACTGGATATTGTTTCTTTTGTATTTTTTTTTTATTTTTTTCTGTCTGAACTGGGAATTGAAACCAGGGCCACTTAATCACTGAACCATATTCCAATCCATTTTTATTTTTTATTTTGAGACAAAGTCTTACTAAGTTGTTTAGGGCCTCAAGAAGTTGCTGAGAATGGCCTTGAACTTGAAATCCTCCCAAGTCAATCTCCACAGTTACTGGGATTACAGGCATGCACCACCACCTGGATGATTTATTTTTACTTTTTGGAGTTAATTCTTTTAATGGCAAATGAATTACATGTTTTTAATAATGACGATAATGTACAGATTTCAATGCCTGATTAGGCTTTTAAATTCAAACTAGAATATAAATTCTTAAGGGAAATAATATGTGTCGGTTTTGTTTGGGGATTATTTTCACACAACTAAGAGTGCACAATAAGCTCAGAGTTAGGACTCAAAATAGACATATGTCAATAAATTAATAAGTCAATAAATCAATAAGTTAATTTCCCTGAATTAAAATAAATTTCAATTGAATTTTCTCACATTATAAAGAAATGAGAGATATGTAGGATGTTTGTGTATATATGTGTATGTATATATATATATATATACGTACACACCCACACATGTATAGTTTACATACATGAAACAAGGCTGTCATGGAATATGAAATACCTGTGTTTATATGAAACTATTTATTTTTGAAAAACAGGTAACTGGAAAAAATTGATTGAGCTTCATAAAATTAGTTGACATTACCAGGATCATAAAAATGAATAGTAAAAAAATATATTTTAATTTTGATTTAAGGATATTAGAATTAGCAAGTGTTACTTTCTTTGCTATTATCTCTATAACTTTTCAAAGAGCCTTGTATGGATTTTTTTTTGTTAGATATTCAGAACTACACTTATTATCACAAATACAAGTATGGCTTTACAAATTCTAGTAATAAAATATTCTAAGAAAAGATCCTTGTACTTGATTTGATCATATATCTAACTGATGTTAAGACCTTCTACAACACAGATATCATGATTTTATTATACCTTTTCTATCAAATTATTAAACTTGTTGAAAAACACTAAGAAAAATTGTTTTAAAAACTGACAATAACAATAAATAATTTAAAAAGTGGGAAAATATTTCTTTCATTTAAGAAAATTTCATTTTTTGTGTGTTTGTTTTTAATCTTCTTGCAAGATAGAGGTCCAGATTGAACTCTTTTGAAAGACTATTTTATTAACTTAATGACAAGTATATTTTGAGGAAAGAATCTGTCCCAGGCAGCATTCAGTCCCTAAGGAGCACAATGGAACCCCAAGGAACATATATCTTAGGGATAACAGGAGAGGCCAAGAATCTCTTCTCATGAGTTTTACATTCCAAAAATGGCAGGGACAAAAATCAAGAAAATAAATTAGAAATTCTAGGAAATAGTAAATTCTGTGAAATAGAACAGCAATTTGTGAATGTTGTGTCTGTGGGTAAATTTTAAAATGTCATCAAAATGGCATCTCTAAAAGGCTAACATTTGGACTTTAATAAGGGACCATATTTATGCACTCTTCATTTAAATAACATTTAACTACACTGTCTTAGCTTGATTTAACAGAATAAAGTTCAAATAGGCTAAAGACACACAAATAAACAAGTTACTTGATATAAATTACAGTTAATGGTTAATTTAAATTATATTCACTGACTTGGAAAATGTTGGCACTATTGCATACAAATATAGTTAACTTAATGCATTCAATAAATCATACAGTATCTTGTTCTCAAAAATTATTTATTTACGTATTATTTCCTCATATCTGCTTTCCCATTGTTAGAGATCATTGCTTTTATTGTCTTCTCAATACAGAATTAGTAAAACGAATTGAAACAATTTATTAGCTGAACAATTCTTTTTTAGCAAAATGAGTGACTTTCAGTGCCAGTTGCTAATAGTATTTTTATGGTTGTTATTTATTAGATTTGGGCAAATCTGAACAACAGTATTTTCCTTGTGTGATAATTAGGTTATCTGTTGTTTGGTGGCAAACCACTTTGATACTTTCTGCCTTAGTAAAATAATTTATTTTTTTCTTTCACATATCTATGATTTGATCTGGCTCAGTTGCACAGTTTTTACCTGGGGGTTAGACAGAGGCTCTGCTAAGCTGGATGTCCATGATGGCTCTGTTATGATTTAGATGGGAGGTGTCCTCAAAAGCTCACATGTGGGACAGTGCAAGAAGGTGCGGAGGAGAAATGATTAGGTTTTGAGAGTCTTAACCCAATCAGTGATTTAATCCCCTGACAGGGATTAGTTGAGTGGTAACTGAAGTGATAGGGTGTGGTTGGACAAGGTGGGAAGTAGGGGGCGTAGCTTTGGGTTATATATTTGTATCTGGTGAGTGGAGTCTCTCTCTCTCTCTCTCTCTCCCTCTCCCTCTCCCTCTCTCCCCTCCCTCTTTCTCCCTCTTTCTCTCTCTCTCTTTCTCTCTCTCCTTTGTTATCACCATGATGTGAGCAGCTTCCCTCCACCACCCTCTGCCTCCATGATGTTCAGCCTCACCTCAAACCCCAGAGAATGGAGCTGACCTTTGATGGACTGAGACATCTGAAACTGTGAGCCCTCAAATAAACTATTCCTCAACTACAATTATTCTGGTCAGATCTTTTAGGCACAGTAGTGAAATATCTGACGAAAACAGGTTCCATCACAGGGCAGGCCATAGACCAGAATTGTTAGCTGGGACCTCTGCTGGGAATGTCACAGAGCACCTTCACTTGGTATCTCCCTCCCTGTGCCTTGGGCTGCTAAGAGCAGACTAACTGGTTCTCAGATAGTTCCAACAAGAAAAATTCAAACAGATCCAGCTGGAATCTCAAGTCTTTATCTGATGGTCCCCACCCCCACCCCAAAGTCATAGCACTCTGTCTTCCTGGTTCAGGATTCAAGGGGCAACCAAAGTTTAAAAAACAAACATAATAGAGCAAGAATCCTGGAAAGATTGATTCACTGCACAGCTGTCTTTTGAAACTAGCTATTACCCATGGTCATCTGCCCATGTATTCAAGGTGACAAAATTTTCTGTGAGAAATCCATAAGTACTAACCTCTTGTGACAGAGAAAGTAAGTGTTGCCTTATTGGCTTGTACACCTGATGCTCAATGAGAGTCAGCATGTGTCTCGATGAGATTCTGATATACATGTCTAATGTCAGAGATTACATTAGAGTTAGAAAGTGTCTACCAGAAAGAGTCCAATGGTGTACAGCCCTTGTGACCTATTAAATGTCTGTTGAAGTATTTTGAAGAAAGACTGATGACATGTTCTCACTGATGTCATAGTGAGAATATTCTACATGAATATATTTAAGCTGATGAAAATGACTTTGGGGAATAATGTCTAGATTATCAATAAGATTAAGTATGGACATTTTATATTATGATGTGGCATGAAAGATCTAAATGACTTGATATCTATTTGAAATTAGATAAGAAAGTTATGAGAAATTGGTGCATGATGAGTATTCAAGTGGCAATCACCATACTGTTAAATGTTAGTTTGAATTTTAGATCTGTATGTAATCTTGTCTTAAAGATAAAATACACTTTATATCACAATTTAAGATATAGATAAGCGCAATCATAGTTGTCAGTGGAAGTATGTAACTTAAAATAATTGCCCATTCATCATCCATATTTTACATGAAGGATTTTTCTCTCTTAATTACTATCACCTAAAATTTAACTCAGTTATCACAAAGGTAATCAAATACATTTAGATTTCATATTTGCCAATTCTAACATTATGAAATATTACTACCTAAAAATGTAGTTTAAAAAGTGAAAACTACCTCAGAAGCAATAATTTAAGCATCATTTATAAACACTGCAACAATTTTTTACATTCATTATTGTACTTTGGAATTCTGGTTTTAGTCTTATCAAGTAGTATAATTTGTATTATTTGATTTCTTCCAGTAGCAATATTAACAAATACTGCTCTCATCTGAAACAAGACTGTCTGAATTACAATACCACTGAAGTCTTTGGTGATTCCTTTCCAGTCTGTCTGCATTCTTACCAAAGTCACATCTGACGTGGAAAATGATGACGATTCTATTCCACTGCACCTGTGTTGATGTGTTTCTGAGAGATGATTTTACTGAGATTGTATTCCAGTGTAGGGAATGACTTCTGAGTGGGATTTGTGTTTAAATGTTAAAGTCTCCATCTGGAAACTCAAGTAGCTCATAACACATGTGAAATTGAATCTGTTAATTTAAATTAACTTTAGAGAAAATTGTCTCCTGTCACCTAGCTTCCAATTTCCTGAGAATTATCTCTGAACCAGGAAGATGGCAATTTGAGTTACTTTGTATCTTTATCCACTGAAATTGAATCTGAATTTACTTGGCGATAACAGCTCACCACTGCTAAACTGATGATTTTGAAGTGGAACATGAACCTTACAGTGGAGAATTAGTTCGTAAATTGCCCCCAAATAAATAAGACAGCAGAAACACATTGGAGCTAAATTTACTCTCATTATCTTAAAAGAAAAAGGAAAAATTGAGGCTCAATTTACATTCCATTATTGACTTTTCCAAGCTGATGTTTTCTTCTCTATCTTATCAATGAGACTTGCCCAAAGAATTTGTTTGTGTTTTAGTAGGGGAAGACAAGCTTCTCTGTTTGCCAGCATCTTAAACTACCTTCAGGAGGAAGGGGTGGAGGGAGGACACAGAAGGATGTGCTCATAGGAAAGAAACAGGAAGATTACTTCCCCTTTTTCCGACACATTTAGTAGATACTGATTGAATGAAGCAGTACCTAGGCATTATGTTAGGGCTAAGTTAAGAAATGGCCCCAGTTGGTTGGTAGACACATTTTGATACAGACAATACGACAAGGATTTGATTCTGTGTAAACAAATCATGATTAAAAGAATGGCATACCTATGGTAAAGACAGGTATAAAAATCAGTATGACTAAAGAGCTGGTAAGTAATTGAAATTCAAGTTATCTTAGGATCAGAAAGTCAGAAAGAAAGGTAAATAAATTTTAAAAAAACTCATGAGTTCAGATGGTAAAATATGTAGGACAAATGTGTCACAACAACAGAAAGAAAGACACCTTTATGTTCCTTGTATTCCATAACTCAAATTAAATTTTCCAGCCAATACTAGGTTATTTGATAAATAAGTGTCATTTTGAATTAAACACTAATGAGTTGAAGGCTGAAAAGCTTTTTGACCTGCATGTTATTGTTAGTGAGGGGTCAAGGATCAAATGAAGTTTCTGGTTTCTCTTAGGTCTTGTGGAAAGAGAAAGAAAGGTTTTGACAGAGCTATGAAGTGTGGATATTCCTGTGACATTTATTGAAAAGGGGCCTCATTTAGGAGAAATGCCAGGGGGTGGCTTCCTCAAAGTCAGTTTTATGGCTACACATTTGAACATTCATCTGTGTCTCTGTGCACTTTTGCAAGGTTTACACAACCCACCAGGACATATGGATGCTTCTCCTGAACCTCTGATCTGGGCTTCATCTTCCTTCTCAACACATTTGTCCTCTCTTCCTTACCAATTGTTGAAAGAGAGAAACATCTCCTGAGTTTCGTTAATGTTAGAGAGCTTCCCTGAGATAGCTGTGGAAACACACTTAGACCCTTATCTTAATCCTACACACATACACACACACACACACAATATATATATATATATATATATATATATTTCCTGATACATTAGTAAGAAAACTAGTTCATTGAGAATGTCATGGAGACATAGGCAAGAGAAGTCACATCACATTGCAAATATAAACAGAAAACATATCCTCATTTAGACATCACAGTTATTTATCCAAAGGCCCTCTCTGGTTACCAATCATCTCACCTACCTTCCTGGTTTATCCCTTTCATATCCTATGATGTTGGGAAGAATTCTACTTTATCTCTTATGATTAAAAATATCCAAGAAAATAAGTGCTCTGCCCATTAATTTATAATTTAGCTCATGGATTATCTTGTATGATTTAAGAAATTTCTTAGGATATTTACCTGTCATCCAAGGTAGCTAAGGAAAGCATGTACCAAAAGTAATACTTCTCTTTCATTGAAGGAATTTTGTTTCTGAGAAATTAGAATTGTCTTATTTGTATAGCTGTAATAATTTTTATATAATTTATACTCACATAGGAAATTGAAAAAAAAATGCAGAGTTCTCATATCCTCCTATATCAGTTTTCCCAGTTATTAGCATCTTATATAACCAAAGTATAATGTCAAATTCAAGAAATAAAAAAAAAATGATAGAACACTGGGTTACTTAGTTGCAGACTTTATTCATATTTTTGTTTTTCTAATAAGGCCCACAGCAGGAGTTCTCAAATAATCCTTGAAGTGGAAAATTCTCCAGAGAAAGAGGGAGATCCAGATCTCTCTTGAAAATGGCTTTACCTAATTCTTCATTTATTTCATGTGAGGTTATTTCTGAGTTTCACCTACTTTTCATTTACTGAATTTGCATACTAGTTTGCCAAACACCTTTATTGGGGTTATAAATAGGCTTCTTGTGAACAGGCTGGCAGGAACTGACCGTGATGCACAAGAAAGACAGCTCTGTGCTGCTCAGCAGCAACCATGTCTCTTCTACACAAGATTTAATAGACATTCCTCAATTTTTGTATTCCCCGCACCCCAGAGTTCTATGTTCACAAAACAATTCCTTATTTTTATTTATTTATGTATCTATTTTTTTTGTTGATAAATTGGTTAATGTCTGGGAAGTAGTTCTAGAACTCTGGTCTTAATATATTAACATCATTTCAAGAAACTTTCCCAGTGGTATGTTGTTGGTAAATGCTACCATTTCTTCAATTAATCCCCAGACTCAACTGTATTACATCGAAATCCTTTACATATGAGGTACATGAAGTTTACAGTATTCCACTTACGGGTGAATCATAAAACAGATTCCTGAAGGGAGGGAAGCAAAGTGTTATCCTGGGAAGTGACAGGAAAATACTTCAGTGCAATGTGAATAAAATAAATCTTTGGAAATAGAAAAGACTAAAGCTTTTGTGGTGACTTCTTTTACTTGAAAGGTGTGCTGTTCTCCTTGAATCATGGAGATTGGAGGTTCATCATAATGATGGAATCATTATAACCTTGTTTCACATGCATTTAAAAGGATGAAGATAAAAGTTATTTAAAATCTAATTGAAAGAGTCACAAAGCAAAGAGAATTGCAATAATGCCTGCAAAAAATTTGAATAATTAAATAACTGATCAAATGCTTTATATTTTATATCCAAAATAAGTTACTGTTTATACGCCTAAATATTATCCTTTGTGAATAGAACATATTGATTAACAAATAAACAATTTTGTAAGGAACCTTCTATTCTTAAACAATATTTTATACATGCCCCTTTTTTGCTGTTGGAAAATTCTATTACTCTTTAATAACTAACATTGATATCATATGAAATCAGCTTGTTGTCGTAAATCTTTAACAAAAAAAATGCACAATATTGGTTTTCTTATGAGAGAGAGGTTACTATTTTCAATCAAATGATCACTGTGCAGCTTTTATACACTGATAAAAATAAACTTTACTGGCTCGGTCTATTGAGATTGAGAACCAGAGAAAATGTAACACCCTAACTGATATGCAAATATTTTAAATGTTTTCTAAATTACCCACTGCAATCTTTGGCTAAAGGTGAATAGAATCTGGCAATTATTTTTATTGATATGTGTGCTTGCGTAGTAAGTGTTATTTCCAAAGGTTAATTATTTACATAACCTCTCTGAATTACATATCTTGCTGACTAGGAATTTATCTCAGCACAACTTAAATTCAAAAGAAGTAAATTTTCCTTCCCGTTGCATCTGAGAGTTGTGTGGTTGATTAAAAAGGAAACAACTAAGGATTCATTCAAAATTTTCATGACTATCTGATAAGCAGTCTTCAAATATTTGTAGAAATAGATTGTTCTTAAAAATTTGACACTATTTTATAGATAAAGAAATTGAAGACTACCTTGAAAGGTGAAAAAAATAAACATAATGCATATAAGACAAGCAATTCATACTACTATATATGAGATTCTGTGTGTATTATTAAATTCCCTCAGAGAAAAACAACTAACTAACTAACCAACTATATAGAGGACTTATTAGATTGGCTTACTTGATCAGAAGCTGGATAAGCCCATAAGGGCCTTCTGCAGGCTTGGGAGCCAGGGAAATGAGTA